ACAGAATTCAGGAGACAGAACTTGTCAGGCCAGCACAACAAATAACACACAAACAAACAAACACAGGACATTTACCTGTCTGATTGAAGACTTAAAATCTTTGGGGGATTTTGGGGATCCTAGGGATCCCGGACAAGCCCTCAGATGTTGTGCCCAAGTTGCAAAGTCCCCAGAGACCACCAGGAAGATAAGACCCACTAAACTGTAAAGGCAAGATTTTAATTGTTCATCCACCCATGACAGGGACCCCGTCTAGCAAGCTGACACAGCAGCCCCCAGAGGGAGTGAAATTCCCTGCTACTGCTAGGTTTTTTTTTTTTTTTTTTTTTTTTTTTTGGTTTTTCGAGACAGAGTTTCTCTGTGACTTTGGAGGCTGTCCTGGAACTCACTTTGTAGACCAGGCTGGCCTCGAACTCACAGAGATCCGCCTGCCTCTGCCTCCCAAGTGCTGGGATTAAAGGCGTGCACCACCAAGTTCGAGGCCAGGCTGGACTGACAGCCTCCAAAACCTAGAAACCCTGTCTCGTAAAACCAAAAAAAAAAAAGGCGTGCGCCACCAACGCCCGGCTACTGTTAGGTTTTATAGACAAAAGTTACAGGATTACATCAGTAGGTATGGGTTGGTTTCTGATTGGTTGACATTTGGGAACAATCAGGAGAATTTCCCAAAGTCATATTTTGGCATGAAATACCTGTGTACCAATTATTCTCATTGGTCAGTGTTGAGAGGGAGCGTTCTGTGGTTTCTATGGCATTGTCTTGTTACTTGCAGGTGGCCTGTTGTTCATAGATACCAATAGTTTTCAGAACTATATCCTGGAGACTACAGGGGAGGTTTTGGTCCCCTCTGGAGTTTCTTTTGTGTCCAAACAGTTCCCAGGAACCGAGCATCTAGGAGGCTGGAAGGGGGGCGGTCCTGGAGTTTCTTTGTGTTCAGTTTTGGCCCTAGACTCCAGGAGGCCAGAGGATGTGGAGTTTCCTTATGTCAGAGGCCTATGTGTCTTTTCTGTAGCCTATCATGATTACTAAAGCAGAGACTGAGTGAGGGTCTGGCCCCTTCATTTTTTTTTTTTTTAAACGAGACAGGGTTTCTCTGTATTGTTTTGGAGGCTGTCCTGGAACTCGCTTTGTAGACCAGGCTGGCCTCGAACTCACAGAGATCTGCCTGCCTCTGCCTCCAGAGTGCTGGGATTAAAGGCGTGTGCCACCAACACCCTAGCCCCTTCATTTTTAAAAGTGAAGCCTTGAGTTTAGTTTACCCCTTTCCCTGCCATGCTCCCTTTAATCCTGACAGTGGACTGAACCTCTGAAACTGTGAGCCAGCCCCAATCAAATGCTTTCCTTTATGAGAGCTGCCATGGCCATGGCGTCTCTTCACGGCAATAGAAACCCTGACTGAGACAGGTGAAACATCAGAAGAATCCCATGGGAGCCAAGTCTGTTGTTTCTGGGCCCCAGTTTCACGTGAGAAGAGTTCAGTGAATGGGCTCTAAGGATGCTCCAAGCATCAGTGCTTGATAACACTGCCACATCACTCATTGGATGCTCCAAGCACCAGTGCTTGATAACACTGCCACATCACTCATTGGATGCTCCAAGCATCGATGCTTGATAACACTGTCACATCACTCATTCTCTGTTTCACCTCTTTTGGGACCTGGCAACTCTCTTACCTTGCCTTAATTTCTTAATCCTACAGTGAAAACAAACACGTGCAGATACCGATGACTGTCTAGGGAACAGGTGGTGAGCCCCGGCTCCATCTGCCCAGGGTCTTCTGAAGTAGAGTGTGGTGCCTGACAGTAGTGACCAGGACTTAGGATTTGGCTGTGGGGTCCTGAGGCTGGGGACATGCTTGCGTTTGTTCCTTTGTGTGTAAAATGGAGACATCCCAAGATCTCATGGTCTGCTCCCTGCCCACCCCCTCTTTCCCTCATCCTCCTTCCTTCCCTCCCTCCCTTCTCCCTTCCCTCCCTCTCTCCCTGGCTGTGAGGATGGAATGAGCCTGTAATGAAATGAATTGGTAGGCTGGAGAGATGGCCCAGAGGTCAAGAGCACTGCTGTTCTTTCAAGGGTCCTGAGTTCAATTCCCAGCAATCACGTGGTGGCTCACAACCATCTCTAATGAGATCTGGTGCCCCCTTCTGGACTGCAGGTACATATTGCAGACAGGACACTACATAATAAATAAATCTTTTAAAAATTGAATGTTTATGTATAGGAAGCAGGGGGATGGGGGCCAAGGTGAGGCAGTGGAGGGTCTCTTGCAGAATCAAAGTCATTTTCTTGCCCTGGAGTAGGACCAGAGGCTTGGCAAGAAGACTCAGGATGGGATGTGGAGCCGGGCTGTTCCGGGCTGCGCTGAGACTTATCTCTCCAAACTATCTCTGTTGTAGTAGGAATCTGTCCACTTTCAGCCCCTTTACATAGAAAGTATCCTTCAGTGCAGGCGTCTGGCTCTGCAAGGCTTTTGTTAATGCATGCCGCCTTCATTTCAAAAGCCCCGGGAATACAAGCTAGTCTCACGTCTTAGGTTTCCCTGTCTTTGGCAGAAGCCTCACTACCCTCTAGGTAACTGAGTCTTCTCTCTCTGTTCCCTTATGCCTTGGTTTTGGTCCAGTCCTCCTCCTACCACAGCCCAGTGACCCTGGAACCCCACTGCCACTGCCTGTCAACCTCTCCTCACCACAGGTGTCTCTGTCCTGGCCTTTTCTGTCCACCCTTTTCTCCCACAAATTTTGCAGTATGCCTTGAGGCTAAACATTTGGCCCTCTTCCCTCACTAATCATTCCTGTTGCGATGCCAAGACGAATGTCACTGCAGGATGCTCTGCTGTGCACATAGAGAGGTCTCCAGCCCAGTTGTCATCAGATAGGCTCCTCCTGCAACTGATGGAAACAGACAGAGACCCTCAGCCACACCTTAGGTCAAGCTCAGGGAACCTGCGGAAGAGGGGGGAGGAAGGATTGTAGGAGCCGGGGGAGTCAAGAGCATCCTAAGAAAACCCATAGGCGCTCAGGGTCTGAACTGTCAACCGGGGGTCTACATAGGTCTGACCTGAGTTCTCTACATATATGTTACAGTTGTGTAGTTTGGTGGACGGAGAGACCTGATTCCAGTAAATTGTCCTCTGACCTCTACATGCACACCTATAAACATAGTACACATGCAAATAAATGCAATTAAAAATTAAAGAGTACTAAACCTCCTTTACTTCCTGCTCTATCCTGCGGTAGGAATCAGTCTTCATCGTCCACATTAGTAGATTTAACACTTAGGAGCAATGTTAGTCATTTCTATGTGTACATCCGGAGAGGGTTAACTATGGAAGAAAGCCCCATCTGGAAAGTAAGTGACAGATCTCATGGGCTGGGGTCCTGGCCTGAATAAAAGGGAAAAGAAGAGAAATGATTTGAGTACCAACATTGATCTCCCTGTTTCCTGGATGACCTGGCTACGGCCGCTGTTGATCAGTGCCAGATTTTGCCTTAGTGAGTGGTTGCCCATGTTGTCAAGCCCGTGTATAACCTCCATCTTTATCACCACGGCTGCTTCAATCATGGGTCCATTGGGCAATGGCAGGATGGCTGGGGAAAGAAACTGTCCACAGAATGGGTCATGCTATCTACTTGATTACTGAACTCCTTAGCGGACATCACTTTTTGATGAGCACTTACACGGGACACAAGTGTCTTCACATCCTCCGCCCATTTGGAGAGATCTACCCACACACTTCTTTCCCAGATGTCTTTCTCACTGACTTTCCAATAATTCTTTTTCCAAGTGCCTGGCCAGCCGGCGACCTGGTGGCAGGTTGACTACATTGGACCACTTTCTGTGGAAAGAACAATGCTTTGTCCTTACCAGAGTAGATACTTATTCTGCTTATGGATTTGCCTTTTCTGCACACAATGCTCTGCCAAAATCACCATCTGTGGACTTAGAGAATGTCTGATCCACTGACATGGTATTCCACACAGTATTCTTCTAACCAAGGAGCTCACTTTACAGCCAGAGAAGTGCAACAGTGACCCGTGATCATGGAATCCACTGGTCTTACCACGTTCCCCACTATCCTGAAGCAGCCTGATGGCAAGATGGAATGACCTTCTGAAGACATGTCTACAGTGCCAATTAGGTGGCAGCAGCCTGGAGGGCTGGGCAAGGTTCTCTAGAAAGTGGTATATGCTTCAAATCACTGTCCAATATTTGATATGGTTTCTCTCATAGCCAGTCTCAGTGGATCCAGGAATCAAGGGTGGAAAAGAGAATAGCTCCACTCACTATCACCCCTAGTGAACCCAGGTCCTCTGGAGGAGCAGCGAGTGCTCTTAACCGCTGAGCCATCTCTTCAGCCCCAGTGATGGTGCACACCTATAATCCCAGCACTCAGGAGGCAGAGGCAGGTGGATCTCTGAGTTTGAGGCCAGCCTGGTCTACAGAGTGAGTTCCAGGACATCCAGGGCTACACAAAGAAACCCTGTCTTGGAAAAAAAATGGGTGGCACCATTCCTCAGGCTTGGAGAAGCTAGATGAACATAAGCTCTCTGCTTCCTGAGTGTGGATGCAATGTGACCGCCTCCTTCAAGCCCCTACTGCCGTGATTTTCCTGCCATGATGATCTCCAACCTGAAACTGTGAGCCAAAACAATTCCTTTCTCCTTTAAGCTGTCTTTTCCAGGGTCATTCATCACAGCAACAGGAAAAAGCTAAGACAGTGCATGAAGTCATTTGACTTACAACTCTGCGGGGTAGACACTGTGCTTAGTCTGCTTTTACAGATGTGGAGACGGACATGGGAGCTTCAGTCATTTGTCGGTGGTCATGCAGCTAGGTGGAGGCCACAACTGGCATATGAACCCAGGCAGTCGGCTCCCGAGACCTTTTTACCGCTGACCTATGCCTGGGGAAAGTGACAGGTTCAGCTGGTGGTAGCAGCACCCTGGCTGTTGGCCATCAACTCTTGGCTTGAATTTCTGCTGTTCAGTATATGACTAAATGTGCTCACTTCTACAGCACATATACTAAAATTTGAATGATACAGAGATTTTCTTGGTCCCTACTCAAGGAGGACATGCAAATTTGTGGTTTGGTGACTGTTCTTTGGAGGACCTGGGAATAGAGTTTTCTGACAACCAGATGACTTTGGGATGCTAAGGTCTTCCTTCGGAGTGGTGGTCACTAGTCAAATCTGGCTCATTTCTGGCTTTGACCCCAGACCTGGACAGAAGGTATACTTCTCTAGAACTCCTAGCCTTCAGGAGGCCCCCACTTCTCTAAGCATGTGTTTTCTCCCCACTCCCACCTGAGAGGAGGCTTCTCAAGTTTCTTGCCTCTTTCTTAAGCTCCACAGAAAATGTCTTGTCCATTAGTGACCGAATGAGCTCCAAATACAAACAATAAGGAAGGCGTCACTCATTTATTCTCTCATGCATTGACCTACCCATGAATGTTTCTCCTCTTTTGCTGTCAGAGTCTTACAAGTTAGTAAATGCTTTGGTTGGGAGTGACCAGCTCAGTGCCAGATGCCCAGTGAGTATTACTTACTTGTTTTGTTTTCTGAGGCTGAGTCTTATACAACCCAGGTTGTCCTCCAACTGGCTATGTAGCTGAGGGTAAACTGAACCTCTGATACTCCTGCCTCCCCGTCCTGGGATTACAAGCACTGGACACCATGCCTGGTTTGCTTCCGCAGTCTGGGGGTTGAGCCCAGTGCCTTGTGCCTGCTATGCAAGCCATCTACCAGGTGAACCACACCTCTAGTCTAGCCCTTATTTACGCACATAGGCACCCACACATTCCAGATGCACCTGCGGGCTCTGGACCTCATGGAGTCCTGAGGGCATGTGGATCTGGCCCTTGTTCTCACCAACTTGGGGCAATTATCTGCTCGTGCTGTCTTGTTTTTCTCTACGTGAGTTCTAGCCAGCCCAGCGGAGGCCCCAGAGCAGTGGTTCTCAACCTTCCTGATATTCCACCCTTAAATACAGTTCCTCGCGTTGCAGTGGCCCCCAACCACAAGATTGTTTTCATTGCTGCTGCACAACTGTAATTTTGATACTGTTATGGATTGTAATGTAAACTTCTGATATTTGATATTCAACCCCTGTGAAAGGGTCCTTTGACACACCCCCAAATGTTGTGCCCCACTGCCCTGGAGTGGACTGAGCTGGTGCTGAGACATGCATCTCAGTACGTCTTCCACAGGTCATTCGTCCAGCAGAGAGGCCTTTGGGACCTGCAACAAATGTTCCCTTCCCCGGCTGCTCCTGTTACCCACCCTCTTCTGTCCTACCTCACAGTAGCAGAGCCAGCTGCTCAAGAGCTGAAGTCCAAGTCAAGCTATCGTTCCCCATTTGTGGCTAAGATGTCTCTGTGCGAGCTTGTGCATGTAGGCACCCACGGAAGTCAGAGCTGCCAAATCCCCCTGAACTGGAGTTACAGGTGGTTCTGACCACCTGACATGGTTACTGGAAACTAAATTAACTCGGGTCCTCTGCAGGAGCCATTTCTTCAGCCCTTAACAAATATATTTTAATATATTCTTGAGCATAAGAGTTAAGGGAAAGAGAGGTGGTCAGAAAAGCATAAAACACAGCCAAGAACATGGGTGTGGGCTTCTCTAAGACAGTCATTAAGGGAAGCTGCACCCAAGCAGGGGATGGGTTCCCCAAGGAATGCTTGCCTTTTCTTCCTTTCTTTTGTTTGCTTTGTTTTGAGATAGAGTCTCATTCTGTAGCTCAGGCTGGCCTTCAACTGGAAGTGATCTTGGCTCAGCCTCTGAAATACTGCATTTACCACCATACCCAGCTCAAATTATATTTCTTAGGCTTCCATCAGACTCAATGTCCTAAGATGGGAAACAGACAGTACATGTAGCAAAACTCTATCCACCAGAATGGTGGCTATGGATTTCATTACGAGAGGGGATAGGGAACTAAGCCTCATTACCCTTTGAAGTTTTGAAATTCTCTTTGTGTTGCTGGCTGTTTTTTAGAAAGGGGCTCATGTAGTTCAAGCTCATCTTAAACTCCCTATCAGCCTAAGATGATCTTCAACTCCTGTCCTCCTGTCTCTACCTCCCTCTACAGTGGTGTGGCCATAGGTTCTGAAATAATCTTCATAACTGTTGTGTAGATAGGGAGCTGGATTAATTCAGGTTCTGTGTGTCCGGTCAAAATCACAAAGGAGGGCACTACAGCCTCAAGACTTTGAAAGCTGAGCTTGTGTATCTGTGGCTGTCCTGGAACTCGATCTGTAGACCAGGCTGGCCTTGCACTCAGAGATCCTCTGCTTCCTCAGTGTTGGGATTAAAGGCGTGTGCCACCACTGCTAGACCAAATTAAAAAATATTCTTATTCCATTTGAAAACTGTGTTTTTGCTACCATACCCAGCTATACAAGTTAATTTGCCTTTATTTAGAGTTTCATTTTAAAAATGTGATTAATTTAGTCAATGTAATCTTATTTGTTTTAAAAAAAAATATGTGGTAGAAGAACATGGGAGGCTGGGCGTTGATAGTGCATGCCTTTAATCCTAGCACTTGGGAGGCAGAGGCAGGTGGATCTCTGTGAGTTCGAGGCCAGTCTGGTCTACAGAGTGAATTTGAGGACAGGCTCCAAAGCTACACAGAGAAGCCCTGTCTTGAAAAGCCAAAAAAAAAAAAAAAGAGTATGGAGGGATGGGAAATAGAATGAATATAGGACTCTAGATGGGAGTTTGAGGCCAAGCTGGTCTACATAGCTAGTTCCAGGATAGTCAGAGCTGTGTAGTGAGACCCTGTCTCAATAAATCATAAATAAATAAAATGAAAAGAGAAGATATGGGATCTCCCTCTAGAGGTTTTGTTTGTAATGATGGGGGAGGAACAGACCCAACTTCCGTCTTGAGCTCAGGGAAACAGGATACCTCTGTGCCATGAAATGTTGATGAACTGCAGAGGGGATCCACACAGGGGGAGCAGATGGAATTCCGGGACGATTGTTCCGGCTGTCACCAGAGAAGACAGGAAGACAGGAGCACTGGATAATTAATGGAGGGACAGATGCTTCGGCTTCTCCGGAAGCATCTGGCCAACAGGGACCTGAGCTTGGGGTGATTGTTGTCTTTAGATCTGAGTAAATGCATTGGCCAGGAGCCTTCTTATTTCCTTTATCTGGCTTCTCCTTGTCCTGGGATCTTTTCAGAAGGCGCAGATGCAGAACTCTAGCTGGCTCGCATCTCATGTTTCCTGGGCTTGTCTTTGCTACCATTCCTGCCAGCACTCAGTGATGTCTTGGGTGTGCATGATTTTTCTTATTTTGCTGTATTTTAAATACTTCCCCCCTCAACTACGATAGTCTAAAATCTCTCAGTCACTCACTTCCAGATCACTTATTGAATGACAGAATGACAAATATTTATTGAGTACCCACTTTGGCAAGCAATTGTTTGGACACTGAGAACATAGTGCTGAATGAGAAAAAAAAACTTCTGGAGTTTTCATTGTAGTAGGACAAATGGCCAATAAGCAAAGAAATATTTAACATGACGTTAGGTAATGATAATCTCCATGAAAGCAAATGTTAAATGGAGCACAGTGGAGGGGAGTGGCCGAGTGACCGGGGAAGACTTCTTTGATGTGATGACATTTGAACAAGGACACTACTGTTAGAGACTACCTAAAAGGAGAACATTCCAGTCACAGAAAACTGGAAGACTCTGAGGCACGAGTGTGCTCAGCACGTCACAGGAAAACCTGCCTCCTAGTCTCTAGGCATTGTGTCCCATGCACCTGCTATGGAATGGAGATATACTTAGATTTGCCTTTTGACCGGAAGAAACATTAGTGTCAAGGGGATACAGTAAGTAAGCAATAATTATGGAACTGGAGAGATGGCACGGCTGTTAAGAGCATTTGCTGTCCTTGCAGAAGACCCGAGTTCAGCTCCTAGCACCCACGTGGTGGCTCGGCACTGCCTGTCACTCCAGTTCCCGGGGATTCAATATCCTTTTCTGACTGCCGCAGGCTCCTGCACGCACTTTAGTGCACATAAGATAAATGAATAAATAGTTATGGTACATAATGGAGGTCTGCAACTTGTTAGAGCTGCCCAGGAGCATCAGAGGCTTCCTGGAAGAGGTGACAATTTAAAATGGACGTGGAGGCTCACATCTGTAATCCCAGGTGAGGCAAGAGGCTTGCCTAGGCTACACAATGAATTTGGGGTCAGCCTACAATGTGAAGACATGACCCCCTCAAAAAAACAGTAAAAATTGACCTCCTGCGGGGAGGAACTGCTATTCTCTGATAACAGGATAATTTAGGCTTTTGGAGGATGTGGGTAACAGGCTTGATGAAGGTACAGAAGCTGGGCCATGCCCTGTCTTCTGTCAGGATGAGAGCTGGCGTTTTTCTTTGCCATGTGTGGCACTCTGGAGGCAGAGGCAAGCGGATTTCTGTGAGTTCAAGGTTAGTCTGTCCTACAAAGGTAGCTCCAGGCCAGCCATTGAGACCCTGCCTGGCGGGGTCGGAGGTGGGGATGGTGGCGGTGTGTGTTGGTATTTTTCATTGGATGAGGGGCATCTCCTACTGTATGTTTGACCGGCGTCCGCTATTTTCCCCACAGTACTAGCCTTTTCCCCTTTCCCGCTGTTGTGCCCTCTTCCCGACACCTCCTTCTGTCTTCCCCGCCAGGGCTCTGAAGCCGGCTAGGAGGAAATTGCCACTTGCGCCCTCCATAAGCAGGTCTTCAGCCCGAGGCCCCGCCCCCCGGCCCCGCCCCCGATGACGCGCCGCGCCGGGTGCGTGGGGATTCCCGCGGCCCTGGCCCTACCCGGCCTGCCCCGCGGCAAGATGGCGGCCTGAAGGTTCGGCCCCGGCGCAAAGTTTGTTGTGGGCTTTTGAGTAGTTGAGCTGCGGGGCGCGACTGGGGGAGCATTGCGGGACCCTGGTATGGAGTAGGGATGGAGGGAGGGGCCGGCTCCGAGGTGAAGGATGTGGGATGGCTGGAGGCGAAAAGAAAAAAAAAAAAGACAACACGGATGGGGGCGGACGGGAGGGGGCCTGCAGTCCTGTGGCTGCCCTAGGGGAGGAGATGGGACGTTGTGGGGTGGGGGTGGGG